CAAGGGAATGTAGTCAGTCCGGTGAGATTCTTGTAATATAGGTGACTAACAATAAAGCTTTTGTTTCAGACTATTCATGAGCAGTTCTGCTTGCTTGTCTTGACGTTAGCAGCCACTTATTTAAGGCCTAATGGTTTAACCTGAAAAATTTGTGCTAGAATTTGTTTCTCTTCTTTTGTATATCCAGTTAACGACTACCCTTTTTCTGCTAATAATAGTATACAAGCCATTCCGAGAACCTAACAACATATTAAAAGGCAGTAACTATTATTTCACTTCCTCCGTCTGCTCAAAGAACATGATCCAAGACCCATTTTGATATGTAGGATTGCTTTCTGTAAATTAGTTATATTGAAGATTCTTCCATCCAGGCCCAAGCCATTAGTGATTCGTTATGGGAAACTTCCACTGCTTTTTAAAAATGTTTTCAGTTTAACAATACCAAGTTCCGATTTTCTAAATTAAATACAAATTTATTTCACCACTAATTTCATTTTCTATCTGTCAAAGACTCCCTCACAAGCTATTCATTCCAGGCCAGGTCTAATTATCAGGTAAAAGGGCTTTCTTCCAGAGCGTTGGCCTTGCCAACAAAAAGAACAAGCGGAGAAATGCAGCCATGTATATTAAAAATTTTAAAAAAAGGATTTAGAATCCGTGTCAAGGAACATAAATAGACATCAGAAGGCAGGCGGCTTAGCGGCACATGCAACTTTATTTTAAATACCGCCAGGCAAATGTATGCAGAACCAAGTCTGTAAGTGGGCTGAGTGAGAAGGCCGGCACTCAAAATAAAAAGCAGATGAGCTCAGACATAGAGAATGAAGAGAGCCACTTGTCAAAACAGATGGAAATATCTGAGCCCAGAAAAAAAGGGTGTAAAGAACAGCTCTGCACAAACCAGATGGCAACTCTTCCGTCTCATTGTTCAGAACTTGGAGACCGTGTCTGTTGCCATGAGGGAGGGTGCAGAGGGTTAAGGCAAATTAATAGGGCTCGGCAACTGAAATATTATCTATTGTCACACTGGATTCCATAACCCTCAGCATTACTTAACTGAAGTGCTCGAACTTTACATTATAGTAGGAGAAGCAGAAAGAATCTTATCGATTCCCTATTAAAGAGCTGTGGTGCCTCTGCCAAAGTTGCCATACACTCTTGGAACGGGAAATAAAAATGAAAAGCGAAGCTCCCTTTTGAGTTTGAAACTAGCTGTCCGAAGCAGAACCAGAGGAAAGAGGAAAACAGTATTTAGTTTATAAAAGCTGCCAAAACGAGGGATCCTGGGTGCTCTCTGAGCTTGGTTGTTTTCTTGCAGACATTTCGTTATCCAAGGCATGGTTGATGCTACCTAGTTTGGTTAATGAAGCGTCTGCAAGAAAACACCCAAGCTCAGATAGCACCAAAGATCCCTCATTTCAATCCAGAGCTACAAATATTCTCCTTGAAAAGCTACCAAGTCAGGCCGTTGGATCCATGTTGCCAAGTGCAGCTTACACTGACTTGCAACATCTTTCCATGGTTTGAAATAAGTGCTAGGCCAGTGATGGCGAACCTTTTAGAGACCGAGTGCCCAAACTGCAACCCAACACCCACTTATTTATCGTCGGGTGCCAGGTGGGCATGGCCCATTGGGTGGGTGCGGCCATTGGGTGGGCATGGCTGCAGTCGTAACAGCAGACTGGGAGGGACTAAAAAGTTCAATCAATCAATTTCAACTTTGCGAGATCTTTTTTTTTCCCGCAAGAAATAGAAATTGATTGATTGATTGAACCTTTTTTTTTTTTTTTGCATACGGCGGCAGAGGCCTAAAGCAAAAAGGTTTTATAAAACCCAGCTGAAGGCCTAGGACTGGGGCGACGGCGCGCATGCCCACAGAGAGGCTTTTGTGGGTCAAGCCCACATTCTATGAGTGTAGCCTCTGCCATCCTGCCTCATCAGAATGTCCTTCGTACAATGTTTGCGGTTATTTTGAAGGGTGGAATATTCCACAAAAACAGATATTCATTGCCCCCCTTAAAGTCATAAAAATATTAGGGGGGGAGGGAAATCCATAAATATCTCCAGTAGAAAGGTAGAAGAACCATCAAGTTTCACTTTAGCCAACTGCAACAGATTATATATATTTTGGCTACATCTAAAAAGATAAATATTTGTATCTCAAATACTGTACTGAAAAAGGCAAAATGTAAACGTTTCTGAACCTTATGTCTATGTACCTCCCTGTTTAATGGCACTTACTTTCAAGTAATTGTGCATAATTTATTTTTCACTGAATATAGACTTGATTTGAACTAGAACTTGATTTATATAAATGTAATGAGTAATTTTGCGTAACGCTTCCAAAATCAGAACAACAACTTTGGAAGAGGCAAGATTCCATCCTTCATTTATTAACTATTTCCTGTTTTTCATAACTGAGACTTATTACCCTCAGCTAAACAGATGGAGATCACACTGTATCTCAATTTCCATCAATCTGTGTCTAAAAAATACATTATTCATAGCATCTTATTAGCCAAGCTTTTAGGCTGAATGTCTAGAGGGAAACTTAAAAAAGTTCAAAGATAACAGTACTTTGGAGGATGCATTAAGTGGACCCTGACACCACCCAGTGGAAGCACTGAAAAGCTACAATAATTCTGAGATGTATGCAACGAAGATCATTTGTGTGTACTTACCAAAAAATCCTGGCCATGGATGATTTTTGGCAACAGATAATCACATACTAGCCTAACATGTCATGAAATATGTACTGTTAATTTATAAACTAGATTCAAATATATAACAATCCAATAGACATATTTATATTCTTTGGCATATCTCTTCCCCAAAACATAAATAAATCTGATAAGCAAGCCAATGAGTGAAATTGAGGCAACACTATCACCAGTAACACCTTGCTTGCCAAAATGAGCAGCCACTGTTCATCCAGCACAATTTATTTTTCATGTATAGCTAGCAGTATCTTTTACAACAGCCTTGAAAAACAGATTGTAAAACCACCACGTACTCCAAATGATGTGCTTCAGGCTGAGGCAAATAGCCAAATCAAAATTTGGAAGCAATTTCATTGGTTGCAACACAGCTCCAGATCAAAAACGCCCCATCCTCTCCGATTAGAAAACCAGGTCCTATAGCAACATGTCTTTTTGCAGTTTCATTGACATTTCAAAACCATTTTACTTCCAGGTATACAAGTCACTTCAAGAGCTGTTTTACCTTATTCATTTCAAGAGGCTCTTTTCTCCAAACTTTTTCTTGAAGCAACAAACTGTGTTCAAAGATAGTGACCAACTCAAAATCACACAGTCAGCTGCCAGGGCAAGGGTGAACTAACAAACCTTGATCTCATCACACTTAGTCCAATACTACAATCACATAACACTTTTAAACATCTCTAATGTAGAATAGTGCTTGGATTCTAAAGAATGGAATTTCAGCTGAACAGGCTTTTGGCCAGTTGTGTTTTATTTATTTATTTATGAGACTTATATACCGCTTTAAGTGCAAGCACTCTCTAAGCGGTGTACACCAGTAGGCAATGTGTGTATATATATATTTACATTGCCCCCAACAATCTGGGTCCTCATTTTACCTACCTCGGAAGGATGGAAGGCTGAGTCAACCTTGAGCCAGTGAGATTTGAACCGCTGACCTGCTGAACACAGTCAGCTAAAGTGGCCTGCAGTACTGCACTCTAACTGCTGTGCCACCTCGGCTCAATGTTTTCCAATTTAATTGGGGAAATGGTTGTCTCTTGTATTCCAAGAAGTCTGTACACCATTTCAGAACAATTTTATATGCATACAATGAAGCGAAAAAGTGATAGGAAGATGTTTATAAAGTGACATCACAAGTGACATCCTATTTGGAACTTGGATTTTTTAAAAAAATCAATCTGAAGTTTTACAAATATTTCTTGGTACTATCCAGAAGCAGGAGAGAGTGAGAATGCATATTCAAGGAATTGTTTCAGACATCAAAATGTCTTACTCATTACTTCAGTTTGATAATAACTATAAAACAGTACAGTAGTATTACCACCATAAATTAAACATTGACTTAAAGCCAATGTTACCCTTATTGTTCATTAATGTATTATATGTATTTTATTAGTTTTTAAAAAATCTTAATGAGAAGAGCCAGATTATCATTAAGCATCAGATTAAATAAAGAGGTTGAACAACTGTGTACAAGTGATAATTTTGTAATAAAGTAGTGACTTTGACTTGCAAAGCCTTTTGCTCCAAGTACAGGGTTTGAGATTTGTGAACAATATTCCCATAAAATCCCAAGTTTACTACCATGTTTCCCCAAAAATAAGACCTAGCTTGTGCCTGATATAAGCACTACTTAAGACCCCGCCCACTCCATTGAACCTGGTTGCATGAGGTTGGGCGAGGCGCATGGGTAAAGATCAAGCTAGGGCGGGGATGGGGGGGTTGGAGCTGCCCCATGCACTCCCTACCCACTGACCTTAGGACAGTTGCAGCCAGTCTCCAACGTTCCAACACCTGCCTCGCTGACCCACTTCTTCTGTGACCGCTAGCCACCCCTTGCACATGTTGTCCCCAGCTTCTGTTTTGTCATCAGAGTCTTTCCGGAAAAGCCTTTGCAGCCAAGAAACGAGCTCTGGATTGACATAAAGGGTGCCCCCCCCGGCCTCCATTTCACCATCAAAGGTCTTTCCGGAAGGCCTCTGACGGCAAAATGGAGGCCGGGTGGTGACGCATGCAAGTGGCAGCGAACGGCCGCAGAAGAAGTGGGCTGGCGAGGCAGGTGTCAGGACGTGGAAGCTGGCTATGGCGGTCCTAAAGTAAGCGGGTAAGACATCCCCCCCTAAAAAAATAAGACCTGGTGCCTCTTTTGGAGGCAAAAAAAACAGAGAGAGAGAGAGAGAGACCGGGTCTTATTTTCGGGGAAACAAGGTAGGTCACTATGGCTGCACTTTGTCACTAGCTCCTTGACATGGCCAGAGCACCACTAGAGCCACTCACCTGGGGAATTCTGTTTGCACACTTTCTACAGGGGCGATGACGGGTACCGGCAGTTCTGCTGTTGTATCAGCGACTTGTGCTTGTACTGCTTCTTCTGCTCTCACGGGCTCTTCTGAATCGGCAGCCTTTCCAGTTTCCGATCCAGAGTCCTGCTGCTCCGCTGCGGAGGTGACCTCAACCTCTTCAATTGCAGCAGGCACCTTTATTCTCTCCCCTGCCGCCACCAAGTCCGCCTCTCTTTTCTTCAATTTCCCCTCAATTTCTTGCTGTCTTTTCTCATCATCTTGGCGGGCCAGATGTTCGAAGTTTTTGAACGCCTGAAAATGACGCAGCAATCAACGCCACAACCCAACAGTTAACCTACAGACCATCACCAGAGAAGAGCTAACACTGCATTTCAATTTCAAACAGTACAGGCAGCCCTCAGCTTATGACCACAACTGAGCCCAGAATTTATGTTGTTAAATGAGAAGTTGGTTAAGTGAGTTTTGCCCCGTTTTACGACTTTTCTCGCCACATTTGTTAAGTGAATCACTGTGGTTCTTAAACTAGTAATGTGGTTGTTAAGTGAATCTGGTTTCCCCACTGACTTTCTTCTCAGAAGGTTACAAAAGGGGATCACATGACTGACACGGCAACCATCATAAATGTGAGTCAGTTGTCAAGCCTCCAGATGTAAATCACGTGACCATGAGCACGTTGAAACAGTCGTAAGTGTGAAAAACGGTCATAAGTCATTTTTTTTCAGTGCCATTGTAACTTCCAACAGTCATTAAATGAATTTTTGTAAGTCCAGGACTACCTGTATTGTTCAGCTCAGCTCCAAGAACAAGTACTTATCTACTTGCCTGATATCCATAAGCATTTAATCCAGTGCATTTTATGGGGAGTGTAAAAGAGGGGCAAGGTCCATTATGGATAAAGAAATTTGACAGTGTTCTTATTTGGATTTAAAGAAAAATGCAGAGTAAGAGGTTAATGAAGGTCTGCCACTGCACTATAGGCATCAAACTAAATAAAAATAACGGCACTCCCCAAACACCATATTAGCTACCCTTTTACCTGTATTTGTTTTCATTCTTCACTCATAGCTGAAGAATCCCCTCCTACTCATAATTTGATACAGCTATTTCATAAACATATCTGGATCCAAACACCTATTGTATTCAGCATGAATCATGCTGACAATAGCCAGTTTTTGCTATATACGCTACCCCAAGCCATGGTCTGTCCTTCCTTAAGTCTTAAGTGGCTCAATTTGCCCTATATTGCACAGTACAATCCATTTTCACCTACAATCTCAAATTTATACGAGTCTCAAATACAAGACTCGGGGTGGCTAACTACTAACAACAGATAAAAACGTATGCTTCATCCTGAATACTAAACAGAGTTGGAAGGGACCTTGGAGGTCTTCTAGTCCAGCCCCCTGCTGGAGCAGGAGACCCTGGCCTATACCATTTCAGACAGATGGCTGTCCAATCTCTTCTTAAAAGCCTCCCATGTTGGAGCAGCACCCACAAGTTCTGAATCTCAGGAAAGAAAACACGAGCATCTCCATACCGAGTGCCCAATCCAAACCAACCCATCATGTCAGGTTTAATAAACCGATTCCCACCATCTGCTTGAACCCTTAAATCTCTCTCTCATTTTCTCTCTCTCTCTCTCTCTCTTTTCTTTCTTTCTTTCTCTCGTTTTCTTTCTTTCCCTCTATTTTCTCTTTCTCATTTTCTCTTTCTCTCATTTTCTCTTTCTCATTTTCTCTTTCTCTCTCTCTCATTTTATTTCTCTCTCTCTCTCTCATTTTCTTTCTCCCTGTCTCCCTCTCTTTCTATTTTCTCTTTCTTTCTCTCCCCCCCCTCTCTCTCCCCAACCCCGGCAGGAGAGGCCAATTCGGGCATCCAAAGGGGACCCAGCCTAAGGCTTACCCGAACGGCCATGCTCATGGCCACGCCGGGCGGGAAGCCCAGCCGGTCGGAGGGCTGCAGCAACAGCCGGTAGAAGTCGGTCTTGCGGTAGAGGAAACCGAAGAGGATATTCAGGAACTCTTGCACGTTGCCCACATGCTGCAAGATCCCCAGCAACGCCTGGTCGTACATGTCCGTCATGGCCCCGGAGCGCTCCATGAGGCCGGCGGAGACGAAGCGCGCCCGGACGCGGACAGGCCTCACTCGCCTTTCCCCGCGAAAGAGGCGAGAGCCGCCCCGAACGAGCCCCGCCGCCGCTTCGCCCGAGCGAACCCGCGGAGACTCTCCCGCTGTCACGGCAACCCCTAACCCTAAGGGCGACGCGGTCACGTGACCAGAACGCCCCCTTCCGGTCCTGTCCCTCGAATGGTTCCCCGAAGCCGCTTCCGGTTGAGCGCGCGCGCTGCAGTTCCCGCTGAAAAGTTTTCCGCCGCCCCTTTCTGCGGTTTGGGCGTTAGAAAGAAGCTCTGTTAACACACAAAGACAGACACATACCCCCCACAAAGGGGGTCTAGGGGTCCTCCCCCCTCCCCACGCGAATAAATAGTTAAATAGTCGTTTCCAGGACGGGGTGGTTTGCAAGAGGGGTCCTCGGTGCTACTCTGTTTACATAATTGGACAAAGTGTAGGCGGTCTTCCAAAACAGCCTTCAAAACTTACGCAATGCAACATAGAGAAAGTAGGAGTTGAAACAGGTTGATGCCCTAATCTCCTAAAAAAAATAGTAACTACTAGGCCAATAGAAAAAAATACTTGTAGCTCAAGTTTGAACTGGGGGGTCCTTGGCACTGATGTTAACCTAGTTAGGTAATGAAACTTCTGCAGGAAATGTCAACGGAGATTCTCAAGTCATCCATGTCATGGTGGTCCCAAAGGTCAAATTGTTATTTAGTCTATTTTTTAAAAAACTCCAGTGATGGAACACCCAGAACTCTGGGAGGCAAGCTTTTCCACTGATTAATTGCTGTCAGAAAATTTCTCCTTGATTCTAAGTTGGCTCGCTCTCTTCACCAAGCTTCCATCCGTGATTTCTTGTCCTGCCCTCAGGTGCTTTGGAGAATAAGTCAACCCCCCCCCCCCATTTCTGTGACAGATCCTCAAGTACTGGAAGAGAGTAATCATGTGCTCCCTATTCCTTCTCTTTGATATGCTAGACACACCTAGTTCCCTCAATCGTTCATCATAAGATTTAGCCTCCAGACCCATTATCTCTATCTGTGTCGCCCCACAAACCTGAATTTGGTTACCTTAAAGCCCACTCACCCACCCCCACCCCGCTTTTAAGGATTGCTTGTAGAAGATCTGCAGCAATTAAGTTGCACAGACATTGGTTTTTCTGTGGAATGTCTGTTTTGATGGCAGCTGATGGAAAGAACAGTGTCTGATGATCCAGGTCACAACAATGTGCAAGGACTCTAGTATGAAAACCCCCATTATTAACAATATGAAGGCTAAAACAAGAAGGACCCCATTTTTAACTCCAATGGTCTTCACCCTCGTGCTGTTCCTGAACACAAAGATGTCACTCACACAAGTGGGTTTTTCACTTTTTTTTTTAATTTCACCAATGACCCTTTGCTGTTCCTCTCACTTTTTGACCTTGCCCTGTGCTGCCACCGCTTCCATAGCCTTCCTCACGGTCTCTTCATCACCCAAGAACTGCATGGGCTTGGTAGGCTTTAGGTTGTCATCCAATTCATACACAATGGGAATCCCAGTTGGAAGATTGAGTTCCATGATGGCAGCATCAGACATCCCTGCGCAGAGACAATGAAGCCAGGTCAGATAAGCATCCACCGAAGTCTTCTACACACCGTGGTCAACAATAAAACCAAGCCAACCAAGTACAGGTCGTCCTTGACTTACGACCGCCATTGAGCCCAACATTTCTGTTGCTAAGTGAGACAGTTCAGTGAGTCTGTCCCGTTTTATGATCTTTCTTGCTACAGTTGTTAACTGAATCACTGCAGTTATTAAGTTGTTAAGTGAATCTGCCTTCGCCATTGACTTTGCTTGTCAGAAGGTCGCAAAAGGTAATCACATCACCCTGGGACATTGCAACTGTCATAAATGTGAACCGGCTGCCAAGCATCTGAATTTTGATCAAGTGATCATGGGGGTGCTGCAATGGTCGTAAGTGTGAAAAAACGGTCATAAGTCACTTTTTCAGTGCTGTTGTAACTTCAAACGGTCAACTAAAGGAACTGTAAATCAAAAACAACTGGTAACTCAGTCTCCCTTCCATTTTAAATCTAAAGGTTAAATAGGGTTGGTTGTGGGGAAGAGAAAGCTTCTTCTCTGTGGATCCAATAAAGAACTCTTTCCCCCCCCCCCTAGAAATGGTTCTTTCTCTCAAGAAGCCCAGATTGGTGTCTGGGGGGGGGGAACATGCAATAAAAGAACTTACAGTGGACAACAGGGCCAGACCAAACTGTAAAAGCGAGAAAAATACAGCGCTTAACCTTACAACAGATCAAAGCCTTTATCAAGATGATAAATGTCTTAATTCATGCAATCACTCGTTTGAAGAGAGTTTGGTCCAAGGGTCCTTGTTACCTCGGCAAATGTCAAGCTATGCTGGCTGAGGAATTCTGGGAGTTGAAGTCCACAAGTCATAAAAGGGCCAAGTTTGAAGACCCCTGCCTTAGATACTGTCTAGCAGTGGTCTGGTGCTGGAGAAGGCTCTTGAGAGTCCCTTGGACTGCAAGAAGATCCAGTCAGTCCATCCTAAAGGAAACCAACCCTGACTTTTCTTTGGAAGGACAGATATGAAGTTGAAGCTCAAAGACTTTGGCCAATGAGACGAGAGGACTATGTGAGAAAAGGCCTTGATGTTGGGAAAGACGGAAGACAAAAGGAGAAGGAGACGGCAGATGATGGGACGGTTAGATAGTGTCATTGACACAATGAACATGAATTTGGGCAAACTCTGGGAGGCATTGGCATGCTAGAGTCCACAGAGTCACAGGGGATCATGAAGACTTAGCAACTGAACAACAGCAACAAGCGGTGATTAGGATTTCTGCCATTTAGATGTAAGACCCTTCTGAAGCATCACAGCAACTACCAGTGAAGAGGATTAGCAGAACTTTGGAAAGACTCTGAGCGCTTCTTTGAGCCAAAGCAAACGATGTCTCGTCTCCTTCTTTAATTGTGAGAAGTATCTTTGCAACCTTCCCAACTTTGGGGGATGTTATGGAAACGGGCTCTTGGGGCAGAGATAGGGGAGATAGAAGTGCTGTTAGTGAGCACCCAGGATGAGACAGAAGAAGCAAACCTTCCAGCTGCACTTTTAACTTTTGTAATACAATGCCAAACTGGAAATAGCAACACAACCTTCAGCCGGCAGCATGTCAAATTGTCTTCAGTTCATTTCAAACCACAGCTGAGGCTGGGTAGCAGCTTTTCCAGGACCATGGCGATAGATGGAAAGTAGATAGCAGAGAGATTCTCCCATCATTGCACTCAAAGTGTTCCCTGCCTCCTTATAATGCAAGGGTCTTCAAACTTGGCAACTTTTAGACTTGTGGTTCCCAGAAATCCTCAGCCAGCCAAGGCTGGCTGAGGAATTTTGGCAGTTGGAAGTCCACAAGTCTTAAAGCTGCCAAGTTTGAAGACCCCTGTTATAATGTGTATCGTCCAGTCTTCTCCAAATTCAACCCTCTCAAGATGGGTGGTCTTCAACCTCAGTTCTTGGCAATGACCTGTTCTAGAGAATTCTGGGAATTGAAGTCCACATACCTTGAGAGCGCTGAACTGAGGAAGGTTGGTCTGACATCGTTTTTATGGCCAACAATGCCCCTGGCCACACGCACAACCTATAGCACCTCTTGAAAAATAAAAAGAGGGGATGGATGAAAAAGGAAGGAAGAAAGGAAAGAAAAAAGGAAGGAGTAGAGCACGAGGGGTAGGTAGGTAGGTAGGTAGGTAGGTAGGTAGGTAGGAAGGAAGGAAGGAAGGAAGGAAGGAAGGAAGGAAGGAAGGAAGGAAGGAAGGAAGAAATGGAGCATGAGGAAAGAAGGAAGGAAGGAAGGAAGGAAGGAAGGAAGGAAGGAAGGAAGGAAGGAAGGAAGGAAGGAATGGAGCATGAGGAAGGAAGGAAGGAAGGATTTGAATAGATATTTGTGAGAGTAGAAAACAAGCTTTCCACTGTGCCTTATGATAAACAAGTTTAGTAATTGGCCATGTCCATCATGACAAACATTTTAAGGACAGACATGGCAACTACTAGGTGAGAACGCCCATGCCAGATGTCCTTGCTGGCTCTCACGGTATACTAATGGTGTATAACTCTCATAATGGTGGACAATGGTCATTCTGTTAAGCTGGTTTATACGAGCCCCATGTTGCAGCAAAATGCTTCCCACAGAAGAGACTGCGGAAACATTAGGAGTGTCCGAGAAGGCAGACATAAGTTATCAAGGTTCAAGGAGCCCAAATACATATCTGAGGAGAGACAAATCTGACGATCTGCCCACGTAAAGGTCACCTGTAAGTGATATACTCCTTCGCGAAGGGCAGGACTTAGCTGTCCTTTGGTGCTCTGGCATTTGAGCAACTCTCTTAGCAAACCTGGTTGGTCTGGCCAGGCAATCAAGATTACATATTAGGCAAGCGAGTGCTGAGACCTAACCTGTATGACCCCATATAACAGGGTTCTTCAAACCTGGCCCTTTTATGACTTGTGGACTTCAACTTCCAGAATTCCTCAGCCAGGCACAAGTCATAAAAGGGCCAGGTTTGAAGACCCCTGCCACATAGGGCCTACAGGTCTGAACCCCCCCCCTTTTTTGGGGGGGGTCTTCTTGGTAATTCCCTGGTTCAGTTCAGATCCAGAAGAGCCAGGGAAATATTCACCTTCGTGTTATCATGCTAAGCCATACTTTGCTTAACAAAGCAAACCATTAGCTGGGTCTGCATGCTCATTAAACCATCAAACAAACCAGTCTCATAACAGTGACTGGGTTGATCTGGAGGCCTTAGTAAAAAGAGCTTGAGGAGGTGAGATCAAAAGGTGCAGCCAAGAAATTAAAAGATGCTTGAATCTAGGGTGGAAAGCTATGGCAAATCTAGACAGCATACTAAAAAGCAGAGACATCACCCTGCCAACCAAAGTGCGTATAGTCAAGGCCATGGTTTTCCCAGTTGCAATGTATGGCTGTGAAAGTTGGACCAGAAGAAAGGCTGAGCGCCAAAGAATGGAAGTCTTTGAACTATGGTGCTGGAGAAGACTCCTGCGAGTCCCCTGGACAAGGTGATCAAATTGGTCAGTCCTAGAGAAGATCAACCCTGAGCGCTCTTTGGAAGGCTAGATCCTGAAGTTGAAACTCAAGTACTTTGGCCACCTAATG